GTCTCACACCTCTGCGGCCACAACCGCCCCTCTGTCCTTGGCCAGATGAGTGGACCCCCTGCCAAAGCTGAAAGTTGTTGCCTAAACTGGGAAATCGAGGAAGCCCAAAAAATCCACAAAGGGCCGAGCTTGAAAAGGGCGAAAAGGGCAAACATGTCTCCTCTGTTGATCTCCTCATTGCCAGAAAGGTCGGTTTAAAGGACTTGATTGTTTGAAAACTTTAAGACCAAGCCTGTTTTTCCTCATGACCCAAACCCGGAAGTTGTTTTGAGGGCAAAAAGAGCGCCCAAGTCCAGCAATGTCTCCGCGCCGCGGATTGGCACCGCCCGGCCGCAGCGGCCGACGCCGCCGTTTCGGCACGATCCGCGGTCGCCAGAAGCAGCGGCCGCGCCAGCGCCCGCTCGGCCCTGCGTAGCGCCGCCTCCACGCGTGCGCGGACCTCGGGAATTTCAGCAAAGCTGTTCCCTGAGTCTTTGAGTCCTGAGTATGTGTTCTTCTTTTTCTTTAACGAAGTATGAATCCATTCCCCCAAAGGAAAACCCCAGGCCTCCGGCGGCGCATCCTCGGGCGTCCGGTGCTTCTCCGCCTCCTCCAGGCCAGGGGCCCCTTGCTTCTTGCTTGCAAGCAGGTCATCCAATGACTTCACTTGCATTCCCTGGGCTCCTAGAGTCTCCCCACCCTTCAAACATGACCTCTATCGGGACCCAAAACAAAAAGTCATGACCCCCAAACACAGACTCACAGACTCCCGCGGTCCTGCGCCGTGGCCAAAATCAGATTCCCCGCCCGCGGCGGGGAATTTTGGTCCCAGCGGGTCAGCGTGAAGCGAATGCCCGTGGCGGCAAAAGCGTCCAGCGAGGGGTCCAGGGCGCCTTGGGACCCGAAATAGGTGGCTCGGCGCTTTTGAAATTGGTACCCCCCATCCCTATTTTCTGGTTTGAAAAGGGAAAGCAAACGGAAAGCCCAGCAATTTTTTTGGGGGGGTCCCTTAAAAAAATACGGCCAAAATGGGCTCCGATCGTTTGCACCAAAGGGCAATCATGTGTGTAGCGGCCGAAAGGATCCCAGGTCGGCTCAATCGTTCCATAGAAGAAAGTTGCCTGAAAGTTGGCAAGTCGGCCAATCCCCTGCGCTTTCATCATTTGGGTATAGCCATAGTCATTTGTTCAACGAGTTGGTTTCTTTAGAATTGGGTTGTTTCGCTGAAAAAAAGAAGGCCTCGGGCATAAAGAGCTCGGTTCCTTTTGCATCCGTTGCCTGCTTCTGTTTGTCCGTCTGCGCTTTTCCTTTTCTTTTCTTTTTTCGGGAGACTTGGGCCAAGGATTTCGCTCTGTTGGAATGTTTGCCTCTTGTTGTCGGTGTGCGCCTGCTTGGAACATGCACATGTTGATTTATGAGATTGGCCCTTCTGATTTGGTTAAAGCTTATTGTTATTGTCTTTTGGTTTGTGCCATGAACATAGTATGTATAGTCTTTTGATAGGTGTGACCCTTGTGTTTTGCACCCTCAGATTTTCTCATCTTTTAAGCTTGGTGACCTGCAGCGCTCAGCATCCTGGCATCAGCCTTGCCGCTCGCCAGGCGACAATTTACTCCTCCCCGTTTATCTTCCTCGTCCAAACAACAAACAACGCCATGTTTAGCTCAGGCCAAGAAAAACGAAACAAAAAGTCCTTGCCGCAACGTCTGCCCCCTTTTCCTAGTTTCCCTCCCAAAAAAGCCGAGCAACGGCGTGCATGGTTGTAGAAAGTCGCCCTTTCCGTGGACCATGTGGGCCATCATGACTTCATTCCAAGTGTTTCCTTGCTGAAAGTGGCCCCCGTGTCTCTCTCCTCCAAAATCTCACGAAACAAGCAAAACGGCGAAAAACCGTCTAAAATGGGGGAGAAAAACAAGAAGAAAAACAAGAAGAAGAAGAAGAAGAAGGAGGAACAAAAGAAAAAAAAACGGAAGCCGACGTGACGCCGAGGCGCTGCGCCCGAGCCAAACTTCGTGCACCATGAAGCTGGCCTCCGCCGGGGTCACGTCTGTGAGGCACGCGCGGCCCCCGCGCTTGAGCTCCTCGCGCTTGAAGCTGTCCTGGGCTCAGCTTCCCCCGAATAAAGCCGAAGAAAACCCGAAACGCAAAAGAACAAAACGGGGGAACAGTGCCAGGGAAAAACCAGGGGAAAGATAGGCTGAGAAAAACCAAGGGAAAAGAGATGGTGTGCTGGTGTAAAGGGAAACCCAAAGAAGATTTAAAGAAGACCCAAAACAGAAAGCCAAAAAGAAAGCAGCCCACAAAAGCACTCGAGACTTTTTGGGTGCTGATTGGGATGTGCGGCAGCCCGCACAAAGATTTGTTTAAAAGGGCCCTGAAAAGCGATTCCCGGCCCTTTCATTCGTCGGGCTACACACACCTCTTGTAAGCCCAACCAGCAGAGGTGTGTCGAAGCGCTGAGAGAAAGAACAACGGCAAAGGAAAAAATGACGCTCCAAGTCGGGTACCCAAAATTGCTGATGTCCCCTTCGCTCTTCAAAACGACTACAAAAAGGGCATGTCCCCAAAAAGCAAAAGCCCAACAAGGGAGTTCAACTGTTCAACTCAAATGTGCATGTTGCTTTTTGACTTTCTAGGGTGGCATAAAGTGAAAGCACCGATTTCAGGGGTTCCTCCATTTAGATACCACAATGTGCGTATAAATGCAAATGTATGAGGTATGTACATGTGTATGCATGTATAAGCTCTTATATGTATATACATGTACATACTTGACACTTTACTTGTTCGAGCGGCTGACGTTGGGGCCAGTTGAGTTTGTTGCTGCAGAGGTCCATATCTCCAAACTTAGATGTTCAAGCTATGTAAATAGAAGGCTAATGGTTCTATGTCAAACGGTGTTGTCAACCAACCATAGTCATGAAGTCAATTGCCAGATTGAACATCCACAAAGAGAGCGAACTACCACTGGAGGGAGCTGTTCTGTTTGCTCCAAACAACCCTGAGATTTGAAAAAGAACCCACATCTAGCGAAACAAGTGTCCAACTAGCCAAAACAACAGTGATCCTGGTACTGGTTGTCTAACATACCTTAGAAGGGTATGTTGACCACGCAATACAAGTCTATACCCATACGCCTTGGGCGTTTGTTGCTTTGAGGGTACCCTTTTTCAGGTTGATTTAAAGGGAAATGAAATGGCCATGGGTCAAAATCCCGTACCCCCCAGTGAACATCCCAATCCCCACTAAAATAGACTGAAATGGGTGGCACCTACCCCAAGATGGTACCGTTGGTTTTGACCCACGGCCAAATATAAAAACACTATTTTGGGGGTTCCGCTCCCTGTTTTGACACACACCCACCTGAGAACAAGCAAGTGTCCAAGAGCTTGTCGATCAAGTTGCGGCGCGGTGCCGGCGTGGGCTGCGCCTCAAAATCCTCCAATCCGTTCAGCAGGTTCAGCACCTGAAATCAAACCTGGAGTTAAAGGGGCGAACGAAGGGAAACAAAAAGAAAAACGCAATTTGAAGGCACCTCCCGAACTTTGAAACAAGCCCGCGTTAAAGGAGTAAGCCCTTTAAAGGGGTTCTCGAGTCGTTGATTCACCGTGAAACTTTCAAACATAAAACAGCTTAAACAAACGTGGAACCCACAACATGCAACTGGGGAATCAAACCTGCTACAGGGGTCTAGTTGGTGATCTCCTTTTGCTTTCCCTCCAACGAGATGGTTATGAAGGTCGATATAGACCTTCACAGTCACTTTCTGAGCATAAACCCCCACAAGAAAAACATTCCCCCAAAGGACATTCCTGTATGAGTTGCTCTGGGGTTCCATCTATTTTACATGCATGGCTTTTGGGGGGTTCCATGTCAATCTCCAAGGGGTCCCCGGTTTTTGTTGGCGCCCCACCTGCGCGGCGATGGCCATGCCAGCAGCCGCCGGCTGGGTTCCCAGCACTGGGATGACCCGCAGCCGGAAGTTGGCGACGCTGCCGAACTCCTGCGATGCCCCGACCGTTTTTGCGTGGACTTTTGGTTTGTTGGGATCCCGCTTGCCCATCTTCTGCACCCGCACCATCGAAGGTTGCCCTAACCAGGACCCGTTTTTCTGGTTCCGTGCTTGCGTTTGGGAGGTTTCGTTGAACATCCAAGTACGGGGCCACAATCAAAACCTGGTATTAACGGGCGCTACCAAAAACAAGAATCAAACCCGTTCTTGTTGTTCGCTTTTCGTTGGCATGGTGGGTTGGGGGGGGGGGAGGATTCTTGGCGGTGCCTGGGCGGCAACGTATCACGATCATTGGTGGGAACGCGCGGTCCAAGCAGTGCGGGCAGCGGGCAGTTTGGGACTCCGGTGCCTCAAATGTGTTTACTGCAACATGGAAGCACGTGCGCCTGCTTCACGCGCGCGCGCCTGGGGCTCAGGCAATCGCGCTAAGGCGCGACGTGCCTGCCCCGAAGCCACCATGAATAGGCGTTGGGCATCGTGAGTCGAGCGACATACAGTGCATGGCTCAAAATCCTGCACCAGTTGGTAGAAACCATAGTTGAATACTGGTTGATAAACCACGAACCAACTGGCGCAGGATTCTGTCCATCCACAGTGGGAACCGTGTTTCGGATTGCGTTTGACAGGGCTCCCTTCTTTTTGTTCGAACATCACCCAAACGAAAGGAAAATCGTTTCAAATCTTAAACGGGGTTGTCTAAGCATGGGTGATATTTGAAACCACAGAGGGGAAAATATGGGGAACCCTACTTCAAGGCTCAGCCAAAAAAGATAGCTCCACCATTTCTAGTCCCTGCTCTCCTCTGGGTTGGCGCGCTGCTCGTCGCTGAGCGGAAGCAGCGCACGCTGGACCTTCTGCGAGCTGTACACAAAGAAGATTCCATCCTTGGTCAAAGCAGTCCGGGTAGGGGGGAGGGAGGTTTATGCCAGCAAAGGCTTAGGATAAGCCCCTAAATACTGGAAGACCTTAGGCAAACCGTAATCATAGAAACCAGCCACAGCAAATGTACCACCAAATACCTTCGTGTTTGTCCCATAGAAATGTCCTGCTGGTTCCGTAGATGTGAGGGCCATGACTAAAGACGAAATGCAGGCAGCATGCAAATAAAGTGCAAACTACTGCTATAAGGGTTTGAAGAGATAAATGGGGGGGTTTGTGGGGGTTGATTTGAAACCAATCAAGGCATGATCATATGCTTAATTACTGCCTTTTCAAGATGTCCTTTGGATAGTCTTGAACAGGACACCTGTCCCCAAAGTGCTTTTGAGAACCCTCCCAAAACCTTTGATTTACCGGATCCAACTGTAGTAAAGGGGGGCAATGCCATATAGCTTGCGACGCATAGCCCGGAGCTGAATCTCCTTGTGGGAAAAGGACCAGGTTTTGGACAACCCATGTGAGTCGCAAGGGAAAAACAGGGTGAGCCCCCACCTCTCTTTTAAAGAAAAGAGAATCCAAAATGGCAAGCTGAGCGAGGGACAATGGGCAGGTGCCCACAACCCGCCTTTGGTTTAGAAAAGGCCAACCCGCCGCTTTTCAGATGGGTATGTGCTGTAAAAACAGGGGTCCAACAATGGTACATGTCCCTTGTATTTGCTTCCATTTAAGCCATGCGAAAAAAGAGTGCACTCTTTCTCCAAACGAGATTGAGAGAAAACACCAAGAAGAAAAAACAAAGACATGAAAAAAAGCAACAAACGCAACAAAATATTCCCGGTCCCAGCTTCCAAGTCCAGGCCCTGAGCCGCCGCGCCCTTGCGCAGCTTGGTGGCCAGGGGGTCGTTGTCGATGTCACGCAAACCCTGCGCCACGCAGATCTTGGTGGGGTCGTCCTCGGGTGTTGTTTTCGGGTGCTTTTTTAGGGAGCCGTATGCTGTGCTGGGGCAAAATCCGTTGCACACTGCAGGCGGTGTTCTCAATATTCATGATTAGGAGATCGTCCATCCCCACTGGTGCAAGAATATGTCATTCCACCGCCCGCACGTCCCTGCTTGGATGTTCAACCTGCCGAGTAGGTCAGTACCCTGGTTTCATGACCACCCCCGTTGTCCCACTTGCACCTACGGTTGGTGAAGCTCCAGAAGTCTGGGTCACAGTCACGATTCCTTCAATAGGAACCTTTACATTGGGTCTCTAATACCCCTAAGAGCTTGATGGCCCTTTTGGCCATGGCACACATGCCTCCAGCCACATCGCCGACCTTCCTAAAGAAGCAAAAGAAACCAGATGGCAACCAACAGGTGATGAGTAAACCACCCAGGGTGAAGATAAACATGATCCTTGCCTGGTCTTCTTGCCACAACCAAATGCTGGATTCCTTAGAATATTCATTCCAAACCTGGCGATCCTTTTGCCTGTTTTGCTTCACAAATGTTGTTTCTATCCGAGGATCCCGGGAAACCGGGCAGAATACACGCCAGCATACCCCCCACATGTTTCTCCGAGAAATCTGAAATCGGCGAAACGGAGAAGCCCTGCCCCGGGCTTTGGCAAATGGAGAATCGGCTTTCGGTCCTTCGCTCCGCTGCCCAGGGCGCTCACCACCGGTAACTTCTCTGCCGCACAGAAGGCCAGCAACTCCAACTTGGTCTTCACATCGTCGATGCCTCAGAGTCCACTTTCACTTGTTGGGATATTTGGGCTGTTGGGTAGATTGAGGGGAACCCTCTCCAAAGATTCAGAGGAAAAGAAGGGGACAACCCCACTGCAGATGTGCCATGCCAGGGTGATTGCCCTGCATCTCGATACTGTCACAAAAAGAAGCTCAAATAGTATCTTCAAAACCACCAAAAGAGAAAATGTAGAGAACACCGTCCCCTCAAAGAGATGGTTTCTGCACAATGAATGGTGGCGCCATGGTTTCCGTGGGCAAAAGGCAAACCTGGGCATAATCCAATACAGAATGGCCCCTAGTAACAAAATAGTCAATTCTCGCTATGGCTCAGAATCAGTATATGAGAGAGGACAGCCCGGCACAAAATTCCGTTGGCTCCACTCATGCCCTCCACCGTGTCACACACTGCACTACATGATTGATTGTAGGCACATGCATGCATATACGTCTACGCATACACATACGAATACCCACACACATACGGATACGCATACGCATACGCATACGCATACGCATACGCATACGCATACGCATACGCATGCATACGCATACGCAATACGCATATGCCGGGATGGAGAGAAGATAAGATGAGATGAGATAAAGATAAGAAAAGACAAGATATGTTAGTACATCATAGGATAAGACAGATAGATAGACAGACAGACAGACAAACGATAGATTGATAGAGAGATAGAGATAGACAGATAGATAGATACATAGAAAGAAAGATAGATTAGGTTAGGTTAGGTTAGGTTAGGTTAGATTAGATTAGATTAGATGAGATAGATAGATTGGATAGATTGGATAGATGGATAGATAGATCGATCGATCCATCGGTTGATTGATTGATTGATTGATTGATTGATTGATTGATTGATTGATTGATTGATTGACTGACTGACTGACTGATTGATTGATTGATTGATTGATTGATTGCTTGACAGATTGATTGATTGATTGATTGATTGATTGATTGATTGATTGATTGATTGATTGATTGATTGATTGATTGATTGACTGACTGATTGATTGATTGGTTGGTTGGTTGGTTGATTGATTGATTGATAGATCGATAGATCGATAGATAAATAGATAGATAGATAGATTAGATTAGATTCAATTAGATAGATAGGCAAATAAATAGATAGGTAGACAGACAGACAGATAGCAGATAGATAGGTAGATAACAAGATTAGATAGATTAGATAGATTAGATAGATTAGATAGATTAGAAAGATTACATAGGTTAGATAGATTACATAGATTAGATAGATTAGATAGATTAGATAGATTAGATAGATTAGATAGATTGGATAGATTAGATAGATTAGATAGATGAGATGGATGCATGGATACATGGAAGCATAGATGCATGGATGCATGGATGCATGGATGCATGGATGCATGGATGCATGGATGCATGGATGCATGGAGGGAGGAAGGGAGGGAGGGAGGGAGGAGGGAGGGAGGAGGTAGGGAGGTAGGTACACACCTATTGGGCCTTGACTAAAGTGATGAGTGACAGACGGGCAAAATAATGATTCAGTCCAACGCAACAAGCAAGCTGTTTCAATTTACACATTTTTCCCTGCAAAAAAAAAAACTTAAACACGGTCACCCAAAAAGAATCCTCAAAAAAGCTGGTGTTTTTTTGAGTTTCATGTTCACCTTCATGGGAGCACATATGTAATGTGGTCGAAGCAGTTTGTTGAAGTGACAGCCTCAAAACTACCGTCTAAGTTGCGATGTCCAGGGTATCCACCGTGGATCCAGTTTCAATTCGTCCAGCAGATTTCAAAGAGCCAGTGGCCAAGTCCAGTGGGCCACTGGTCACTGGTCATGGGTGGGTTGGCCAAGCACAATGTCCAACCATTTTAGCGAAAAGCATAAAGTCAAGCACTTCTTTGCGTGAGTATTCTGGCCCGCTCCGGGCGTGACAGCCACCAAACGAATAACGTGCAGGAAGAGGGGAAATGAGCTGAAGGTACGTCGTGGGGCAACTTTCTCCGGGGCCGAAATCCAAACGAGGAGCAGTCCACTACCAGCCGCGGCCTTTCTTCACCAAGCAACAGCTCCTCCGCCGCCTAAGAAAGCATGTCAGACCACCAGCAGCCGAGGAAAGCCAAAGGGAAGCAAATGTTCTAGAGTCTAGAGTATCACCCGGGAAGACATAAAGCGAATCCAACATGAAATCGAGAAATCTTCGCAAGAGCCTGTTCCATTCTGAACCCATCCGAATCTATCCAAAAAAAATACTAAAAATGCCGAAGGCCTTGGGAAACGGCCGTCATTTAAAATCAACAATGATTGAAAATAATATGGAATCAACCCTTAGCAACATAAACAAGGCAAACCAAAGGGAAAAAGCACCGTCAGATCCATTCCCAACCCTGAATGGACGGGGGAATGTAGGCAACCCTGCCCCAAAAGTTGATGTTTCAACCATCCACAAATTGGAACTCTATGCTACTCTGCTGTCTTCTACTCTGCTGTCTTCGCCGGGTTTAAGTACTTTCAGCACTTTACTGGTTTGCTTCAATCAGACAGCACTCTATTCAGTCCCAAAACTAATAGGATTCAGACCCCCCCAAGCCCTGTTCCCTCAACATCAGACCCTGATAAGGCCTTTGGAGGAAACAAGGAGCCGGGATAGGGATGTGTTGACACCCAAGGCCTCCACATATGGAAACAATTCGGCTCTGGTGCGCAACCACCTTCTCAGTCTTGGGACTCTGGGAAAAGTGGTCTCTGGGACTCTAAGTGTTCACGCTCTGCGCCTCTGCGGTGAACATCGAATCCCGGGGGTCGAAGTCGGATTCTGAGCCCGCGGAAATCGAGGCGAAGTAGGCCGCACACACGCTCACCTTGGGCAGCCCCACCTCAAGAGACGACGGTGTTTGCCACGTGCGCGTCCCCAGCGCCATGGGGTGCATGCATACAATGGCCCATAGCTGTTTGGGAGGGTCTCAAGTTTGGTGGGGGCATGTAATATATATATATATATATCTATCTCTCTCTCTCTCTCGCGTTAAAATACGTTGATACTTTACTTCTAGTGCAAGTGTTGTTCAGTTATCACAAATGTAGTCCAGCCAGCATGCACTCTTTTCCTGATAAACTCAAGGCCTGCAGTCGGGTAGTGTACATCATGCATGCACAAGTGACAAGTAGTGCAACATGATATTTGACACGGCCCCTTGGTTAAAAGACCTTGTAGTGTCCTTTGACCATAGACCCAAAAGGTGGTATTGACAGTAGTGGCAAAAACGAATGCACATGTTGTTTGCCGATGCTACTGTAGCGAACAGGCATGTAGTCTCTTAAAAAGATGACCGAAGGTAGGTATCTACAGCGCTGCTGTCTGTAGTTCAACTAACCTTCAAATGATCAAAAAGTGAAATTGCTGTACAAGAACCCTAGTTGGTTCTCAGTCATCTCGTAGTACGATGACGTAGTACAGCACGTAGTTGCAGCTCCACCTGGAGATCAGGTGTGCTTAGTCCAGTGTTGGACTCGGTAGTTCTGGACTTGGCTGATGCGGTAGTCCAAGCCTGCATAGTGGTTGGTAGTGAATGTGTTGAGGAAGTCTGGACCGCCACGAAGGTGATTGTAGTCACATTCCGGTGGTGCAAGTGTTTGGCCGGTGGTAGTGAGGTAGTTGTGGAGTAGTAGTTTGTGTTGCATGGAAAGATTTGTAGCCGTGAGGAGGGTGATGCCGTAGTAGGTGACACTTTTGTGTAGCATCGTGTTGATGGACTTGTAGTGGTGGTCTTGAAGTTGTTGTGGTTGGTCGAAGTAGTTGAGTAGTTCTGGTAGGTACAGGGGCATGTGATAGTTCCAAATGAAGTTGTTGGACAGGTTGAATGTAGTGGTGATCTGGTCCAAGTTGTAGGTGATTCGGTGTAGTCGTTGATGTAGCTGGCGTGTAGGTAGGTGGTGCTCATCTTTGATGGAAATCATGTGGCTCACGTAGTCGCGGCAGAAGTTGACGAGTTGTCCAGCGCTGACAAATCGTAGTAGAACTTCTGGTGGAATGTGTAGTTGGATGATGACCATCGAGTTGGTGTACTGGGTTGTGAGGTGTAGTGATGTAAGGTTGTAGTAGTAGAAGTTGACTGCCTCTGAAAGACGTAGGTGAAGAGGTAGTGAGTCGTAGTGTGGCATCCGTAGGTCTGAAGGTAGGTCGTGAACTGGTAGGTTGTAGTTGAGCTCGGGGATGGGTGTAGTTTGTTGTTGACTTAGTAGTTGGAACTCCTCGAGCGTCAAAGCCGCGTAGAATCTGAAGTAGTTCTGCTCCGGGTCGATCGCTGATCGGGGATGTTGTTCTCAGTTGTAGTGAGGTGTGCCAAGATGTCGTCGGGTCTGTAGAAAGGTGCCGGTGTGGGTAGTTGGTGGTTGAAGTTGTAGTTGAGGGAGTTGTAGGCCTCAGGTGGTGGAGTGGCCAAAGTAGCCATGCTGCCGGAGTCGGTAGTGCCCTGCCGATCCGGTGGTGTGAAAACACGGTCCGGTGTAGTACTGCCAGCCTGTTGTTCGACGGGCAGAGTAGTCTCTGGCGCTGATGTAGTAACCTCCATCGGCATGACATCCAGCGTAGTCGCATCCATGGGCGTAGTTCCAGCCATTGCTGGTAGTTCGGCCTATCGAGATGCAGTGAAACGGGGCAGACAGTAGTGAGCCAATGTTAGCTCACAAAAGCACATGCGGGCATGTAGTAAAACACAAAACAACATGTAGTGTTGACTCAAGCCGCCAAAAGCCGCCAAAAGTGCAAGTGCAAATTACTGGTGGTTACAATTACTATTACTTGTAGTCACTGTTACTGTTACTGTTACTTAAATGCAGGTAGTTACATATGGCCATACACAAACTGTTGTGATTGATGTGCAACAGTTGTGAAACAGTTGTTCTTCGTAGTGCTAAACACGTATGCCAATGCTCTGTATGAGCCTCTTTAGTGTTTCTTTGCTAATGTATTTTGTGAACAAGTCTGAGCTGTTATGTAGTGTGTTGATTTTGAGGATTCTGATGATGTCGTGCTTGACGAGGTCTTGTGTGTAGAGAAATTTAAGGTCGATGTGTTTTGCTCGTTTGCTAGTGCCTTGTCGTGTAGCAATGCTCTTGCCTGCTGTGGAGTCTGTGTGGATGCGTAGATTTAGCTTGCTGCAAATGTTGGTTTCAAGTAGGAAGTTTCTGAGGTGTAGTCCCTCATTAACTCCTGTGCAAATGGCGTAGAGTTCAGACTCTGCTGAGCTGAGTGCTATTGTAGCTTGTGTTCTGCTGCCAAATGCAACTGTTGTTCCTAAAAAGATGATGTTGAAACCTGAAGTTGATTTCCTGGTAGTAGGGCATCCTGCCCAGTCGGCATCGACATGAACGTCGAGATCCAGGATGTTGTTAGTGTTTGCTCTGAGTGTTGTTGTTGGTTCTATGGTGAATTTGTAGTGCTTGGTGCCGTTCAAGTAGCGTAGTAGATGTTTGACTCTCTTTTGTGAGAGTTCTGTAGGTGCTGTGAGGTCTCGTGCTAGTTCTTTTGTGGAGTATGCGATGTCTGGTCGTGTGTATGCTAACCATTGTAGTTTGCCAACAATCCTTCTGTACCTTTTGTGTTGTTCGTGGTCAAGTAGTGCTTCATCTTCTATTGTCGGTTTGTAGTGTGCAATTCCTGGAGTGTTCACTGGGTTGCAGTTGTTCATTCCAGACTCCTCGATCATGTTGTCGATGTAGGAGTCCTTTAGTCCCAGGTTGCAGTAGTTGCCAAAGTGGTCGATGTTTCTTCCAAGAAATTGTTGTGGTAGCCGATTGAGTAGGACCTGCTTCTGGATGGCCTCGAAGGTGGAGTCGACAGTAGTCTTGTCACCAAGTACCAAGAGATCATCCACGTAGACCATGATGTAGCAGTCGCGAGTTGCATTGGTGTAGACGTTAGGTTCTGACTTTAGTCTTACAAAGCTGAGCTTTTGTAACACTTCAGCCAGGTAGTCCTGCCATGCTTTTGGTGAACTGCGTAGTCCATACATGGCTTTCTTTAGTCGCCAGATTTTGTCCTGTTGTGGACAAAGTTCTTTAGGTGGCCAAAGGTAGACGTCACGTTGTTTACCGTCGTGGTCTTTTGCGATGGGTGCGTGTAGAAATGCTGTAGAGACGTCGCCTAGTCGCGCTATCCAGTTTGGTCGTGACATTTGTAGTGCGAGAAGTGTCCGGAGTGTCGTGAACATTGGTGTAGAGGCGTAGACGGAGTCTTCGTCCTCGATCTTCTCTGTGTAGCCTTTTGCGACGATTCGACTTCGCACTCCTGGTCCTTTCTTCCTGTGTACCCATCTAGTAGGTATCGCTTCTCTTATGACGTTGTCGTCGACGGTAGACGCATCTACTTCGTCGTAGACGTCATGTAGCTTCATTTGATTTGACTCGTGTTTCATTCCTTCCAGTAGTTGTGTTTCGTCGTAACCTTCGTTGTCGAAGATTATGGGTTGGTCTTCTGAGGTGTCGTCGTTTGTGTAGGGTGTGATGAATTTGCCGTTGGGAAGTGTCACTGCGTTAATTTTCTGTCGTAGTGGTGGTGGTTCTTTGGTTGCTTGCTCCGTTGATCTGATGGTAGTGCCCTTGGAGGTCTTCTGTGCTTTAGTGGGTTGCATTACTTCTTCCGGAGTTAAACGTCGTAGTGTTTGTCGAGGTGGTGCTGGTAGTGGTGGATGTTGTCGTCCGGTTGGTGAAGTAGCCATCGGACTATCCGGTAGTGGTCGTGAACTTGACGTCGATGTTGACGGAAGTCGTGGAGGTGGTGTGGTGCGTTGTTGTTTTGTTGCGGGTTCCGCAACGATGTCGTCCGTAGCGCTCGTTTGTTGTCCGAAATCTTGCGTGGACCTTCTTCTCTCTGACGGTGGTAGTTGCGCATCCAACAGTGTTGCGAACGATGGGTTGTAGGTGTTCCGTCGTGGTGCCCACGGTGTGCCGGAAACTTTGTTCAATAGTGCGAGGTCGTATTTGAAGTCCGGTTGTAGTCTCCGCACTGTTCGTACCTTTTGTACGCCTGATTCCGTTGCGACGTAGTTTTCTCCGGTTTCGGAAACTTTTCCGAGCCAGATGCATTTCTGCATCCGTAGGTCTGCTTTTGGGAATTTCTTGTGTTGTGGTGGAAGGTAGAGTAGTGTCTCGCCAAATTCGCAGATTGCTCGCTCGTAGTTTCTTCCCCAGCGGCGTTCAAAGCTTGTGTAGCCGTCTGAGTGAATGACGTAGCGATTTACCGTCCATGCTGCGTGTCGTACTATCCAAGGTAGTAGACAGTGCTTTGTGGACATCGTCATGCTGTAGTTGCTTTCAACCTGAGCTTTGACGACGCGGATTTGTCCGAGAAGTGTTCTATGTAGTCGCTCAACGCTTCCTTGACTGTTGCTGCTGTAGGATGGTGAATGTCGTACAGTCATTGAGCCGACTTTAGATGCTGTTGCTTGTAGTAGTGCATTGAGTGTGTCTTCGTTGTCGCTTTGTAGTATGCCGTGTGTTCTTCCGCATTCAAAGATGAATGCTTGTAGGTTGTTGATCATGTAGTCCATCATTGATGGTTTGTCCGGAACCAATACCGCCATGCACAGTTGTGTAGTAACATCAACTGCCGTTAAGACTGGTATGGTCTTCGGATCTTGTTGTGATTTGATGTAGGCAAAATCCACTTGGATGATGGGTTGTCGTGATTGTTGTTTCTTGTAGTTGTCCTGGCGTCCTTTGCCTTGAACGCAAATTGGACACCAATTTCTGTATGGTAGGTGTGTCAAGTTGTGTTCTGCTATTTGTTGTGGAGTGGGCTGCTGAGGTTGTCGTAGTCCTATTGCTCTGTGTGCTTCATGATGCTCGTGTTGTTGTTCCTCATCGTGGTTCTCCT